TTATGCATATACTGATTTTTAATATTTATTATTACTGTTTTATCCATAAATGTTGATTGCTAAATGTACAATTTTTTCAGATTAATTAATTAATTAATTTATTTGTTTGTTTATTTATTTATTTATTATTAATAATAAGATTTAACATTTTAATATTTTATAATTTCTTATAAATATGAGAAATTATATTTTCTTTTTAAGTATTTATAATTTATTTATTTATTTGATTGGTTGTTTATTATTATCAATAATATTTAATAAGATTTTTTGATTATTTGTTTATTTTATTTATTTATTTATTTATCATTTGTATTTCTATTTAACTATTATTAATTCATTTATTTGTAAAACATTTAATTTAATTTAATTTTAATTTGTTTCATATTTTATTTTATTATTATTATTATTATTGTTATTTAATAAAATTTTTAATTTAAATGTATTTATTTTATTACTTTTATATTTTTTTCATTTTCATTTATTTATTTATTTTTATTTGTATTTTATTTCATCATCACTATTATTATTATTGTTATAATTATTATTATTATTATTATTATAGTTTTCTTTATTTATTTATTTGTATTTTTACTTTAATAATTTTCGTTAATTTATATTTTTTATTTTTTAATTTGAAATAAAAAAATACTTTTTACTGTTTTCCTATTTACTTTACTTTATGTTAATTTTAATGCAAACATTATAAATGCTTTGGCAATACATTTGTAACATTTGTCATGCCAATAAGGCAATAAGGCAAATTGAATTAGAGAGAGCGAGAGAGAGAGAGAGAGAGAGAGAGAGAGAGAGAGAGAGAGAGAGAGAGAGAGAGAGAGAGAGAGAGAGAGAGAGAGAGAGAGAGAGTAATCAGCTGCCCGAGAGCTAAGAAAAAAAAGAGAGAAAAAACCCTCAGCTGTGAAGTAACGTGTTAAAAGTGCGAGCAGCAGCTCAAACACAAACATTCACAGTTCAGGTGCGTCCTCGTTTGTGAGACAGCAGAGAGAGAGACGGGTGAGAAACGGTCGACTCTAAAAGCCTTTCATGCCTTAAAGTCGAGCTATAAAACCTCTGACATTCAGGAGCCGTGAGGAGAATATTTATGATCTTGGATCTTACATGTGCATATACAGTACTTCACTGTATCAATACTGATCCTGTGCTGATCCAGAAACCAGTCGCATTCCAGCCAAGTGAAGAATAAAATAAAATAAAATAAAATAAAATAAAAAAATAAATAAATAAATAAAATAATAAAATAATTTTTCCAGTACTGGGTTACAGCAGGAAGGGCATCCACTGCATAAAAGGTATTTCAGAATAGTTAGTGGGACTAAGCTGAAAGCCAATGAATGAATAATAATAATAATAATAATAATAATAATAATAAAACCACAAATTTAATTAAATAATTAAATTCAATTAAATAATAACTACAAAAAATGAATAAAAAAGTATATCGACATATTTAAAAAATAAATAAATAAAATAAAATAATAATAAATAAAACTGTACAATAATAATAATAATAATAATAATAATAATAATAACAAAAATAATAATAAATTAAAACCACAAACTTAACTAAATTAAATAATTAAATTAAATTATTTATTGAATTAAACAATTACATCTAATTAAATAATGGGATATAATAATTTACAGATTTTCTATTACAAAATTTGTAAATATATATATATATATATATATATATATATATATATATATATATATATATATATATATATATATATATATATATATATATATATATATATATATATATATATATATATATATATATATATATATATATATATATATATATATATATATATATATA